GCTCCGGCTGGTGCTGCAGTGCCTTACTGCTCTCTGCAAGTTCTGGAGGGTCAAAACCTGGGATCTGCCAACCGGTGTCCCGTGGAGCTGTGGGAGGGATCCCCTTCCCCCTGTTTTCCACTTCGCTAAAATGGGAGACTCACGTGTTGCTTTCGCGGGAAGTCACAAAGCTTCTCCGGTGCTTTCAGCTTTGTTTAGATCCACCTTGTCTTACTCTGCTTGCTGTGTCCCACTAAAATACAAGCAGGGACAAATTTGCTCTCTGATACTGGTCTGAAATTTGCTCTCTGGATCCAGCTGATTTGTTTGCTGCATGTGTGCATTATTCCATCTCAGGACTAATCCTGCCACAATGAGAATCCATTCTGCTGACCCGGGGGGGGGGCCCAGCTCCTGCTGCGGCTTGTGCCCAAGTTGGCTGGGTCAAAGTTAGCCCAGGTCTCTTATTTTTGGCACATTCTTCCCCCCCACAACTTGCAGGACTTGGGCAATGATGAGATCAAAGAACTTTTTGCAGGACTGGACTGGAGCCAGTTTCCCCCCAAGGTGGTCCATGTGCACTGCTCCCAGCCAAGGGATACTTCCCTAAGCCTTATCCAGCCATGACAGGAGATCAGTGTCTTCAGGGTGTTGCTGCTGAAGTCCATGACCACAGGGCAGGAGTGTTGCTCCATTAGGCTGGTGCTACATTACTCTTCTTGCCCCTCTGTGCCCAGATCGGGTGTTGGGGTGGGTCAGGCTGGACTCACAATGGGATGGTGCAGGGTTGTTGAGGCTAGCAGCTGGGAAAAATAGGGGAGGAGAAACATGTGCTGTCCACCACAAACCAATCAACGGATTCTCCACCATTTCCTGTGCCCACACATAATGTGGGAACATGGGGTCTGGTAGGGGAGTCCAGAGATAACTGAAGGTGGACTAGCAGCTCTCCTGTGCCATGTTGAGTGTACAGGTCCTCTCACAAGAAACCACTAGTTTGTGTTTCTCTTGTGGCATTCTCCATGGGCATATTTGGAAGAGGTTTTTAGTTCTAAAAGAAATCCTTTTGGACACATTGAACATGGGGGTTTGGTTTCTGTTGCCTAAAATCTGCTATAGTTAAAACAGACTCTGAGCAAAGGGCTGCTAGGGACTGTGAAGTAGAAAGTTTCCTGCACTGTGTGAATCGGCACAGGCAGGCAGCCAGGACAATCTATGGCTAAAACACAAAGCGTAAATTTATTTCTTTATCTCGGTAACTGGGGGATCCCTGAAGCACCACCAGGCAGGGGCAGAGATACAGGAGATGCAGGTACTGTTAAGGTCCATGCTAGCAGTTTGCTGGCTGCTGTTCATGTGGTTTATCAAGGGTTATTCCTAGCTGTAAAGTCACTTTGAGCAATTTACAATCCTCCTCCCCCATCTTCTGCTTTTAACCCCTTTCAAGATCCAGATTTGGTAAAAATAACGAATAAAAATATGCAACATTGTTAATTTCACTTGAATGGGTGAGATGTAGTGTCCAGGACAGAGTGGGTCTGGGATTGGGCTATTTGAATCCAGATGTGATTTCCCCAAAAGTCAAGTCTGATGTTGGCAGTAACAGCTGTTCCTCCTCCACTCCACTTCCAGCAGACTCTGGGGAACACTTCTGGCTGTATTCCCAGCCAGTTTGCATCACAGTTTGCTCCCATCCTTTGCTGTGGCTCTGACTGGGTTGGTCATGTAGTCACTGCAGTATCTTGCAGTTGTGGCTGTGTCATGCTCTGAGCACATGCACGTTGCTTTGTAGAGCATAGAAGAAGCCTGAGAACCAAGGCAGGTCCCCAGCCCATCCATTCACAAGCACAGAGTAACATCTAGAAAATGTCTCCCTCAGGGTGGGCCATCGCTGGTGCCCCAGGATGATGCTTGGCATTGCCTTGCACTGATTGTTTCCATGTTTCTTTTTGTAGGAGCTGAGAGATCTGGCATCCAAGCACCCAAACTTGGTTCTTGTGAAGCTGGGTAGGTGCACTCTGCCTCTGAGCTTGTAAATTTGTGGCTGCTGGCCACGCTTGTCCCATTTCTCCTTCCCTCCTTCCCTGACTTTAGGCTATACATGGGGATCCAGTTCTTCAGAGCTGCTTCAAGTCCTCTTGCCAAGGGTTCAGCTTCTGCAGACTCCGAGACAGCCTCAGTGCCCTGTTCCCTGGAGCTTCCTTGCTCCATAGCCACAGGACCAGGATGTTACTGATACCCATTCGGGGCAGCCTCTGGCTCCCCTAGCCAAGTGGTCACATCCTTGCTCTGCCATGCAGCTGAGCTGCCTTGATCCCAAGTCCCAGGAGGGCTCCGGTAGGAAGGCAGTTCCCTTGGAAACATTGTGTGATCAGCCCAAAGCCTGTACAGGAGCTGTGTGACCTTGCAGAGCCATCCCACAACAGGCCTCAGCACAGTTCCCTTGGGGACTTGTCCCCACCTGAGACTGCGCTGGGTTCTCCAAAAGTTGCTGAGGTGTGGACTTTGGAGGTGGTGGCTGCTGGGGACTGACCGAGATAGGAGTCACAGCAGCTCTTTCCCACCGCGGTGGGCTGTCCCAGGGCAGGCAGTTTTGGGATGTCTGGGACATGCTGCAGTGCTCGGAGCTGGTTGCGCAGCACCATCTGGTGCCCGCGGATGGAAGGGCCGCATGGACCGGGATGCGCAGCAGTTTCTCAGCATCTTCACCTCTCTCTTCCCCCCAGTGTCCCCATGGCTCTCACACCGTTTTCTTCCACTGCAGATGTCGCAAATCCCTCCGCTATCACTGATGCGGCGAAGATCGTGGAGGGGAAGCTGAACGGCATGGGCCTGAACCTGCTGATAAACAACGCAGGCATCTACACCCCCACGGCGTCCCTGGAGACAGTCGACGCTGAGGACATGATCAGGACATACAAGACCAATGCAGTGGGGCCAATGCTGATGGCCCAGGTATGGGTGATGCTCTGGGGATAAAGTTCACCAAGGAATTTGGCACAGCTTGAGGGTAGTCTGGGTTGCCTGTGGTCATGAAGGAGATCTCAGAGGGCTTTGCCGAGTTTTCTGGGTCTACAGGGAGAGATGAGACAGTGCTAGGGCTGTGCTCCAAGTCCAAGCCCTCTGTAGCCCCAGTGCATTGTACTGGCCTGACTGGGAGCAGGCAGGGCCACTGCAGCAAAACATCCAGGTTCTCTTGGCTTCCCACCATTCTTCCTCATCCTCCCTGAGTTGCAGTTGCCATAAGTGGGGGTCTTGTGTGGGTCTTCTACCCCTGCAGCAGCCAAACCCTGTGCTTCAGAGGGGACATCCTGGCATTGGGGCCCCTGAGGTGTCCCTGGGAAGGACAGAGCTTGGCACCTTGTGGCTCAGAGCTGTGCTCGAGGCACAGGTGTCCCGGCTTCCCACCATTCTTCCTCATCCTCCCTGAGTTGCAGTTGCCATAAGTGGGGGTCTTGTGTGGGTCTTCTACCCCTGCAGCAGCCAAACCCTGTGCTTCAGAGGGGACATCCTGGCATTGGGGCCCCTGAGGTGTCCCTGGGAAGGACAGAGCTTGGCACCTTGTGGCTCAGAGCTGTGCTCGAGGCACAGGTGTCCCACAAGGTTGTGGCTTCCCTGCCTCTGCTGAAGAAGGCTGCCCAGGACAGCAAGGAAAAGGGCCTGAGTTGCAGCAAGGCAGCCATCATCAACATCTCCACTGTCATGGGGTCCATCAAGAAAACACCTGATTCCTTCTTCAAGCCTGTCATCTCCTACCGCTGCAGCAAGGTATGGAGTCTGGGGACCTGTTGTGCTAATGAGCTGGGTGGGATCCAGAGCTGTCCCTTGCCAGACCTGAGATTGGGAGATGGAGGGACTGATCTATGGTGGTCACTGCCCAAGCTCCCATGGCATCTCCATGCCTGCCCAGGGGAGACACACACTGGAAAACCTGGCATTGTTTTTTCTCCCTTACCAAGAGGAAGCGATAGGTCCATGGAATCTAGTTCATGGAGCTTTCTGCTGCCTGTGGCTGATGCTTGCTTCCTCCCCCAGGCTGCTCTCAACATGCTCACCATGTGCCAGGCTCTGACCTACAAGGAATCCGGGATCCTCTGCGTGGCACTGCACCCCGGCTGGGTGAAAACAGACATGGGCAGCCAGGAGGTGGGTTCCAGCTGATCAGGTCAAGGGGGAATCCCATGGGTGGGACACAAGCTTACAAACCTGCACAGGAGTTGGCCTGGGTGGCTGAAATGGCTCTTGGGAGGAGGAATCCATATGAAAATGATCTGCCTCTTGGGCTCCAAGTTGCCTGCATCTGTGTTGGGTCACCGAAGAATATGTGGGTGCTGTTTGGAAAATAGCATCAGCATGTATCCAGGGTGAGCAGAACACCTATTCAGGGAGAAAAGAGGCTTTGGGCATCCTGGATATGTGCAGAGAATGTGAATTCGACAGAGCAGGGAGGACAGGAGCAGCACCATCCCATCCTGTGCCCCTTTCCTCACGGAGCTGCAGGTCCACAAGGTCTCCACTTATCCTGCAGGATCCATGTTTTGCAGTAGAGATGGTCCCTGAAGCACTGGAGTTTTGAGAAGGCTGCACATAGCATCCCGTTTGTCACAGGGATCTCTTCGGTGTCCTATTTGGTTAAACCTCAGGCTGGCTTCCATCCAAGCCAGCAGTGAGCATGCAGATATCCAACCATCCTCCCACGTAGCAGATTTGTCCCAGCTCCTGTGACTCTGCTTGCTCTGGGTGGGAGGAGCCTTGTTGATGTGCATGAGCTGAGTGGGTGCTGCTGGATGTCCTGGACCGACGGTGGTGTCTCGCTGTGCCTGTTGCAGGCTGACCTGACAGTGGACACAAGTGTGCGAGGGCTGCTGTCTGTACTGCCAGTCCTTTCTGAGAAACACAGCGGGACTCTGCTCAACTGGGAAGGTAAAGCTATCCCCTGGTGACTGCTCTCTGCCCCTGCAAGGGACCCCGCAGTGCCAGAGGACTCCCTGGGTGCACTGGAGCACCAGGATGCTCAGCCCTCGGTGGTCTGCAAGGGACCTGCTTGGGACTCCACTGGGTGTGCAGGGTGTGATCCCTGCCTTCACCTTGCTAATCAATAAAGTCAATTAGTACTGTGCCTTCTCCTAGCTACAGTGTTCCGACTGAGACTGTCTCTGCTCTGGAGGTGGCCCTTGCAAAAATTAGCCTGGCATTCACAGTTGGACTCGATGATCTTGGAGGTGTTTTTCCAGCCTAAAATCATGCTATGATCCTAGCAGTCTGCCTGCCTTGTCTTTGGCAGCTCTGAGCCAAAGGGAGGTCCCAGGGACCATGTAACTCGCCTGAAGCCCCAGTGTCATCCCTGACTGCACAGTGTGCTCAGGTCTGCCTGGTCTCTGCCATACTTCCACCAAAGCATGGTGCCTTTGTTACTGATTTCTTGGGGGCCTTTGTGCTGGACATGGTGTCTTTGGGAGCAGCTCCAGGGCTGGAATGGGAGGACCAAGCACCAAAGTCCAGTTCTGCAATCCCAGGCAGACAGCTCTTCCCATAGTGGAGCCCGAACTGGGCCCGTTACCCCTGGGTGGGGGAAATCTGATCCCGTGAGGGAGCACAGCATGGGAATGGCACTTCTGTGAGATGGAGAAGGTGAGAACCTTAATAAGATGGTCTGGGCACCCCTGGACTGCATGAATTTGCCCAGGAAGTGGTAACGGCCCTGAAGAAATGGACTTTGAGGTGGTGCTGGGTTTTCTCAGGAGTGTTCTGCCCCTTCTGGTAAGAGCTTGTCTTATGGGAGCATAGGGAAAAGGAGCCAGGGCTCCTGTAAAACCAAGCCTAGTCTCTGGTGGGCAGAGCAACTTGGCCTGCAGGAGAGGCAAACCCACTGCTCCTTCCTCAGAGGCCACTGCCTTCTCATTCTCATCCAGAGGACCAGCTGAAGCACCCCTGTCCCTCTGGGTCTGGCCCTTTCTGGGGTCATACCTCTCCCTGGAGCAGGGGCTTGCCTGCCACCACCAGCTTTCCTAGGAATCCTGAGGCCATGCTCTGCTCTGCACAGGAGCCCTCCCATTTCCCAACTGATAGCACGGATGCTGCTGTTCCCCCACCCAGAATTTACTCCCCAGGCAGACAGAGCATCAGGGCCAACTCCGTGCTGGGACCACCTCTCTGCCCCACCAAGGTGAGTTGTGCCCCAACAAGCTCCACCAAGGTCTGGCACCCACAGCCTGGTGAGTCACAGGCTGCAGTGAGTTTTCCTTCCTCACCAGCTCCAGTTCCTCCCAAGCCAGTGGCATTTTGATGGCCAAGGAGCAGGATGGAGTGTGTCACCGGTGTGGGCTTGTGGATAGGGTGCGTGTGCGGGAGGCAGCAGCACTGCCAGAGATGTGAGCTCAGACCCCTGGCTACTTGTACACCCTTTTTGGGGGTCCTGAGCATCCCAGGTGCTCAGTAAGGGATAGAAGAAGAGAAAGAAGAGGCAAGATGCCCTATGAAGTTCATGATGGAGTCCCTTACTCCACAAGCACTTTCTATGATGGATGTACAGGTCCTTTCTGAAGCAGTTGCAGGAAATGGGACAGCTGGATCCCACTTGGGTCCCAGTTCTCTCCTGGAGCTGAGGCTCTTCTGCCCCATCCTTACCGGGGGACTAATGCCAGCCCCACTTGGCTGTGCCAAAGGAGGTGTGTTCCAAGCCCAGGCTGTGCTTTCCAAGCCCTTGGGAGACAGCACTGCCAGCAGCACTGCAGGGAGCCGTACCCACACAAGGCTCTCGTTGCTGCATGGGTACTCCCTGTCAGGGAGACATTGGCCTCAGTTCATCCTTGGGGAAGGTCTGAACCACCTGATACAGCCACCTGATTTTCCATGCAAATACTCTCTCATTTGTGCTCTTTTCTTTCCCAGTTCATATCTGTGGCCAGAGGAGTCAGTGCCCACCTGGGCACCTCCCTGTCAGCGCTGTGATGGCAGAAGGAGGGAAATCTCTTGGGAGGAATGGCTGAGGGACAGGACTGTGGGTGAAAGGTCGGATCCTGCCGCTGTATGGCTGTGCTCAGTCCAATGCTGGCTCAGATACATGGCCAAGCCTCCCCCGAGTGCCCTCCCTGCCCCTTGGCAGAGGTTCTCCTGCCCCAGTTACTCCACACAAGCCAGCTGGAGCCCAGCCAGTCACCACAGGCTGGCTCCATGCCCATCTCTCTCCATGTTTCTCCCTTCTATCACATGCCATGTGGTAGATCCCAGGAGATGAGCTGTCCCAGGGATCCCACTATGGCTTGCTGACAGCTTATAGCCCCTCCCCATGATCACTGCAGCCCCATGAGATAGATGTAACTGCTCCCTGGGGAACATGGGGAGAAACAGGACTGCTGAAAGCTGGGACAAGCTCCCTCAGCCTGGCTGAGGGTCTGCAGTGTGGGTGATGCAGGATGGTTGCCCACCTGCTGTGGCCCTGGGATTATGGCTGAGCTTGGGGAACGGATAAATCTGTAAACATATCACTCCAGCCCTCTGGGAACTAGAACATCACCTAGGATGTGGTCAGGTCACCTGGGACATGGGCAGCACTGTGTGCTGAAGGTGGGGATGGGAGGAATGGGAAATTCTGCAGGTGGAATCCACTCTGGCATTACTGGATGCCCAGCTGCTGTGGACAAGAACAAACCATGAGGGGCTGCTGGACATTGAAGCACCACCATGAGCATCAGTACATAGGAAGCCCAGTGCAGTGGTCTTCCCTTCAGGTGCTGGGACAGCAGACTAATTTCCATGCAGAACCAAATGGCAGCAGGTCAGTCAATCCCATTTTTCAAGCCAACAGAAGACGGGTAGGACGACCCAGATTGGACCTCTCTCTGCAACTGGGAATCATGCTTGGTGAATGCTCTGCTTTCACAAGTGAGGCTAGCTGGTCTCCAGGAGCCCAGCCTTCTGCCTTCTGAGACAAGGCTCACCCTAGGGAGCACATGCTGGAGCTGAGCTGCCAGGCACCATGCTAGCCATGGTAACTTGGAGGCCTGGGACCCCTGAGCACCTTAAGGTGTTCTATGGCACATGCTCATCAAGAAGCCTCAGTGAGAGGCCAGATGGGCAGGTCTCCCTGTTCAAATGCTTGCCAAGTGTTGTTGGCTTTTCCCTTGCATGAGTTCCGGGTGTTTGTGCTCATGGAGCTGATTATCTCCCTGTTTCCTCTCCTGATGGATGTTTCCTGTCTTGCTCCCTCCCTTTTGCCTTTTTTTCCCTTTGTGTCAGACTTATTTCCTGGCTCTGGGCAGCGTCAGACCTCAGCATCCCCCCTGCCCATCATAATGGGAACATGCAGTCCTCTGTCCTTTCACTGGGTGTAGCACAATGTCCCAGGAGACACTTGAAGTGCTGGCTCCACCTGAGAAGCTAGCTGCTCCTTGGGAGCACAGGCAAGCTGGGACAGATGAAGGATGATTTAGGATGCATCTGCTGTAGCAGCTGATTCATCTCTATTCTGAAGCTAGGGGACAGGTGCCAAGCGGACCAGTATGTTGCCACAGGGGGTTGTTGAGTCCAGCAGAAGGGAAAGCTGGACAACCCCTTGGGGACCTTTCCTGAGGCTGCACAAGGCCATGGGAACATATCTGGGACCTTCCAGGGACCATGGGTGGGGAGGTTGTTACCCAAAGCAGCCCCAATGACCTTCACCAGCCCCCCTGGAGCCATAGTACCACTTGGGGTCAAACATCTCTCTGCTCCAGGGAGCCCAGCAGCTCTCCAGGCTCCAGGGATTGACCTCAGTGGTGGGAAAGGCCCATATTTCCAAGGGTCCCTTGGTGCCTTTTTTCAGGCCAATAACCACTGGCAAAGACTTGTCACGCCAGGAGCTGAAGTCAGACAGGTCCATGGGTTTGGATAGGAACAATGAGGCATGCAGAGTCCTGGCCTGAATGCTAGGATCAGGACAAGACCCATTTTGAGAGGCACCATCCCATGCTCAAGTGGGGCAAACGGGACAGCGGGCAGAGCCCCCATGAAAGGCAAAGCCTGCTATAGGAGGAGAGGGTCAAAAAAAGGAAACACGGAACGGAAAAGGGCTGCTCCTGTGACAGCGATGCAGCTGTGGAGGTGGGACAGCAGGCAGGAGGCAGGTCACAAACAGCTAGCACATGAGGAAGTGCTGGGACACCAGCCAGTGTGGCCAGGGTGGACGGCCACAGCAGCTTCAGGTGCAGCAGATCTTCACTGGCTGGGGAAGGACCAGGAGCAACAGCAACCAGATCTGCAGGGACCTCAGCCAGGACCTGGAGATCCTCTTTGGCGGGAGTCGTCTTCCAGCCAAAACTTCCTTCTGTCAAGGTGTGGGCACTGTCTGTGACATGGGGGGATGGGGCAGCAGGATGGTGATGGTGGGAGCATCTCTGTGCCAGGTGCTACTGTGGTTCTGGGACTTAGAGCCCAGGGTGACCATTCCCAGAGCCACCAGCAGTGGGGAACACTGCTGCTGGGAAGTCTGGATTATGTGGGGAACTGCAGCTCTCTGGGGGTGCAGTGTTGGGAGGGTGCTGGGGGCCAGGGCTGCCATCAAAGTACAGGGACCCAACTTGGGTCCCTGAGAAATGGGGCTCTGGAGGATACATGTCCTGGTCCCTGCAGCACCAGGGCTACCAAGGGAGATGAGTAGGAGCAGCAGATAATGTGCCAAGGCTTCCTCTGGCACAGCCACAGCTGCAGGGCTGGGGTTGCTTCATCGCTATCAGTCCCTGCAGAGCCCTGTGCATCCCTGCTCCCTCCCCTGTGTTATTGTTAGCTGGGAGGAAGCAGCTCACTGAGTCCCACCTCAAGGTTTTAACCCGCTGCTGCCTGCCCTGATACTCTCCACTCCCATCAGTCAGAGCCTGGAAGGCTCCACATTTGCCCTGGGAGGATGGTTTGGTACTCGGGGCTTGCTCCAGGCTTTACCTCCCTGAGGACTAGCAGCACCCCTTGGCATGTCTCTCTCAAGCCCTCAAGCCTCTCTCCCACAACCCCTCTTGCAAAGGGTGGATGCTGACATTGTCACCCCTAAGGTCCCGAAGGCTTTAGATGCTGATGATTCCCTCCTTCCTTTTTCTTCCCCTTTTTAGCTGGTCAGTTCCTGCCTGGTGCTTCCTCTGGAAGCC